GAGAAAATGTGAAGAGAGAGGCAATAGGCCTGGAGTTCATTGGGAAATTGACTTTACCGAAATCAAGCGTGGTATGTATGGATATAAATACCTTTTAGTATTCATAGATACCTTCTCAGGCTAGGTCGAAACCTACCTGACAAAAAGAGAAACTGCCACTGTAGTAGTAAAAAAAAAAACTGCTTGAAGAAATCGTTCCCAGGTACGGACTACCGATCCTCTCAGGGTCAGATAACGGGCCTGCTTTCATCTCTCAGGTAACCCAAAAAGTAGTACAGACTTTGGGGACAAATTGGAAATTACATTGTGCCTATCATCCCCAAAGCTCTGGTCAGGTAGAAAGGATAAATTGAACATTTAGAGACCTTAACTAAATTAACCCTAGAGACTGGCGGAGACTGGGTAAAACAAACTCTTATCCTTTATAAAAGAGCAAATAGCCAAAGCTCAACTCCTAGTTTTGAAAACCAAATATGAATAGCTTAACCAAGTTAAAGAAACCAATCTGGGCCCATGATTTGGCCCAGGAGGTACTTACTCAAGGGGGGAATGAATGACCCAAAAGACCCCAACCAGAAAAATTCCTTTATCAATTTCCCTTCCCTAAAGAAATTTCTTTCCACATACCCGAACCCACTCTAACCGCCAAACTGGTTCCAGTAACCGTTAGAACCCTCCCTAACCGCCAAACTTCTGATGCCAGCAACCTTCCCTAGATAAAAGCCAATCAGCTTGAAAGTTGAATGTTAAACTTCCCCTGACTGCCTACAAAAAGGCCTGCGTGCCTGCTTTCGAGGTCTCCATCAATTCAGAAGGTAGACCCACGGCATGCAGTGTAACTTGAGATCAATAAACACTTCTGCTGATTGCATACTCAAGGAGAGTCTTCTGTGGGGGACACACATTTGGGCACAACACTTTACAGGAGCAGAAAGCCTCATCTTTCTCCCGTGGAACAGCTGGTAGTTTCAAACTGCCAACTTTGAGGTTAGCAGCCCGATTCATAACCATTACGCTACCAGAGCTCCTTAACTCTCCTCTCCTTAGGACCAAGTAAAGGACAGAGCCCTGGATTTGGAGTCAGTATACTTGGGGTCATTTCCTGGGTCTGCCACTTCACAGCTGTGGGCCTTGGGGAAGTCACTTCATGCCTCCAAATGTCAACTTCTTTATCCACAGAATTGGAAGGAAAACCCTCATCCTTTAAGCATAAAATGAGAAGAAAACCCCCCACCCTTTAAGAAAAAGGGTAGAATCACTCATATTGTTGGAGTAGAGAAGGCTTTCTCAAACAACTTTTATAAACATAAACCACAAAGAAATGTTGAGTTAAAACTTTTATGGTCAAAAATCACCAAAGTCAAAAATGAAGAGGCAGACTAGAGGGTGGGAGAAATATTTGCAACACATATAACTGAAAAGGGAATTATGTCTATAACAAACAATCCCCACAATTCCATTAAAAAGTGTATAGTAAGAAGGACAAAGAGTATCAAAAAGCATTCACAGAATCAACCCTGAAGGCCAATAAACATGAAAACATGCTCAGCTTCACTTCTTAGGTTAGCAGGGGCATGCAAACAACCACAGAGCATCCATAAATATCAGGTTGGAAAACAAATTTGTTAATAGCGAGTGTTACAGAAGAGGTGGTTGAAAAAGAAGGGCTGTGGGAGTGTGGCATTCTCAAGCTGGGGGCAATTTGGCAATAGACACTGTGGGTTAATGTGCTGATGAACTGCAAGGTCGCTATGAACCGCAAGGTCAGTGGTTCAAGCTCACCAGCTGCTCCTTGTAAACCCTATACAGAGTTACTGTGGGTTAGAACTGACTCCATGGCACTTGACAACAATGAACCTGAAGACGTGCATCTCTAGGACTCACGTCACATTCAGGTAAATACAACCCTAGAGAAACTCTTTACAGATGGGCTCAATGATGTTTTTGCAGTATTGATTTTATTAGAGGAAGTAAGGGAAGAAGCAACCTAGCCTGTCAGTGTGGTGGTGGTGGTGGTGTCGAGTCTGTTCCAATTCATAGCGACCCTGCTTAGGGTATCCGAGGCTGTAAATCTTTACAGGGAGCAAAAGCTGTATCTTTCTCCCACAGAGAGACTGGTATATTTGAACTGCTGACCATACAGTTAGTGGTCCAGTTTGTAATCCATTATGCTATTGTTGTTGTTGTTAAGCGCCGTCAAGTCAGTTCTGACCCATAGCAACCCTGCATAGGGTTTCTGAGGAGCGGCTATGGAGCTTGAACCGCCGACCTTGCAGTCCAGAGCATTAACCCACAGTGCCACACCAGGACTCCTGATGCTGCGAACACTCCTTAAATGCCTATCAGCAGGGGACTGAGTACGTACACTTTAAACCATCCAAGTACTAGAACAATATATATTAATCAAGGCAAAGGAAGGAGACCTACTTGTAAAAAAAAAAATGAATCCATCTCCAAATTGCACGTTGGGTAAAAGTAGGTTTGCAAAAGGACATGTAAACCCTGGTGTTATTGTATGTAAATGTTAAAAGGCTACAGAGCAATTCTGTCTATTCTCTGGGCTCCTACAAAGGAAGCCAGAAGTCTAAAACATGGGTAGGGAGGGAACACATAGACTCACAAGCAGTACATTTGGAGACAGGGAAAATTCCAGAGGTGTTTGTGACATTTCATTTCTTTAAAAGAGTTTCATTTCTTGTAAAAGACGCTGAGTGAAGGAGGAAGGGTGGGAAGAGAATAAAAACCAAAGCAAATGATTACTGAAGATTCTCTGCCTTGAGCTCTGTATTCTTTTACGATCTGTACAGGATCAAATTGACCACAGCAACTCAAAAGGTTAGAAGGGAAGCTTAGCAGACACGAGTGTGTATGAATGTTGTTGTGTTGTTTTAGTGCCATCGAGTAGGTTCCAACCCATAGTGACCCTGGATAGGGTTCCCAAGCAGCAGCTGGTGAGCTTGAACCGCCAACCCTGCAGTTCAAATGGCTTTACAGTCTGGCGCATTAACCCACAGCGCCAACCCAGGACTCCGTGTATGAATGGAGAGGAACAATTAGGAAAAGGAGGGTGAAAAGGACTGCACAAGTTGAAGAATGTAATTCATACCGCTGAATTGTACGTTTAGCAATTGGTGAATTGGTGCTTGTCAGGTTGTGTTTATTAACATCTACGGATACAGAAATTATTCCAAAATAATAATTATAGAACCAAAGTTTAAAAAAAAAAAAAAAAAGGATTAAAGCAAATCTGCTCAGACAGTGACATTTGCTAAATCTTGGTGCTGGTGGTGGTGGTGGTTGTTAAGTGCCATCTAGGTGGTTCCGACCCATAGCGACCCTGTGTAGGGTTTGCAAGGAGCAGCTGGTGAGTTTGAACCGCCCACCTTGCAGTTCAAACCAACCTTGCGGTCAAGTGTTTATCCTGTTTTCTAATATTAATCTCTGTACTTTTCTGGAAGGTTAAAATATTTCCTAATTTAAAAGACGCATTGGGATGAAGGATCTGTTCTATTACTTGATGTGGTGGCAGAAAGACAGAAAGCAGGGCCAGCGCACCCTCAGGTTGTCACCCAGGAACTAACCTTATTTCTGCAGTATGTTTTCAACCCCCAAAAGGCAATGGGAGCTTTCACTTTCCCCTCTGAAGCCTTGTTTTAATCTCCTTAGTGCTTGTGCAAATGGAGCGCACATTCCCAAGAAGGAAAACACTCTTGGAGAGAAGAGAGGTAGGAAAGATGAGAAATATCAAGAAAAGAAATCCCCAGGGGAGTGAAGTCTTGCATATCCAGAGATTGTTAGAGGATTGCTTCACCAACAAGAGTTGGAAAGACGAGTTTTAAAGAGGGGCAGGGGGAGTTCTCATCCCACCTAAGAGTGGAGGTGAAGCAGGATTTCACCAAGAGACCCTTGGCTCTGCAGTGCCTGGTGCTGAGTTTTAACAGCCAAAGTTCTTTCTAGCTGGTCCAGGGTCTAAACAACCCTGGGATACAACCGCTGACTTTTCTTATCGGTAGCTTAATTAGAGAAGGCCAGTCGAGGGGACTGTAATTCTATCCTTTTTTGAACACATGCATTACATAACGACTATCTATCCAAACTCATATTTTCCACATGTTTACCTGTTTGGGTGATATATACCTCCCCTACCCCATGCCCAGGCGAGTTCTGGTGTGGTGCTGTGGGTTAATGTGCCAGACTGCAAAGCCATTTGAACTGCAAGGTCGGCGGTTCAAGCTCACCAGCCACTCCTGAGAAACCATATACAGGGTCGCTATGGGTCGGAACCGACTCCATGGCACTTAACAACAACACCCCATGCCCCTGCTGTATATGCTCCCTGAGATGTGAGACCTGTTTCTTGCCATCTCCCTGTCATCGAGTCAATTCTGTCTCATAGTTACTCCACAGAACAGAGTAGAACTCTCCCTAGGGTTTTCAAGGCTATCAATCTTAACAGGGATAAACAGTCTCATCTTTCTCCCAAGGAGTGGCTGGTGGTTTCGAACTGCTGATCTTGATCTTGTGGTGAGCAACCCGATGCCCACTATGCTGCCAGAGCTTCTTTCTCCCCATACAAGACACCTGAATTATTTCATGAAGAGTGAACGAGCAAGTGGATAAACCAATGAAAGACAACAGCACCACTTAATCGGTACCTACTCAGTGTCGACTCATTAAAGGGCCTTGTCCTTCTCCCACCTCCCATGGACAAAGGATGGTGGTCTTGGTTTACTGAGGTCAGGAAACTTGCTCAAAGCCACAGAGTCACTTACGGGCAGAATTCTATCCCACACCTAGACCCTCTGACTCACACACCTGTGCTCTTGACTACTACTAACCAAACCCCTGGTCACCGAGGGATTTGGGGGGGTGGGGGAGACTGCCCACCATTTTTTTTTTTCCTGAGATAAGGCAAAAGTGTTGGTGCTTGGCACCTGAATGCCAGAGAGCCGGAATGCAAGCTGCTCTGTTGGGTGCTGACCAGGCGTAAAGATTCCCGTTTAGACAAGTGGCTCTCCCCCCACTCTGTGGTCTGGGAGCTGAGGGGGAAAGGGCAGTTAAATGAAAGGGGTCGAGGAGGAGGGTGAGGAAGCTGGTGGCCAATTCCAGAAAGGCCAGATTTCAATTTGCATAATAATTTTGTTAGTAACAATGGGCATACAGGACATCTATTTAAAGGCTGTAATGTTAATTTAATGGGAAAAAAGCTAATACAATTCCCCCAGAATTTTTCAATTAAATTAATGTGATGGGCTTTAATGGATAGCTTAAGTAGAGAGCAGGAATAGGAGAAATATTGCATAAATTATACATACATTTATATGTATGCTGCCCGTATATATAATCTCTCTGCTCTCTGGTTTTGACATACAAGAGGCTGTATTCTTAAATCTGGCCACCAGTTATAACTCTATTTCAATTAAAGTGACCCTTTTATCATTCCAAGAAGGGGGGCTCTTCCCTGTGGAGTTTCTGTACACCCTTCCATTCAACAAGACACCAGAAGTCTCAGGTCTTAAAGAAACAGAGCACTCTCTGAACAACAGCTAGCGATAGTACACACATTCTCAGACTGTCCATGATCAGCCGAGCCGTGCAGAAGGCTGCTCCTTTAAACCTTCCTTCCCAAAGACATCTGATGAGCAATAAATTAGAGGGGTGGCATTTCAAGGGTCACTCGATTCATTCGTATATGTCTTCATTCACCTTTCATTCAGCAAGTGTTTATCAAATCCCAACTGAGTGGTAACTCCAAAGAAATGTGCTCACACCCTCGAGCCAATGAATTGCCTTTATTCGAGGTGTGATTAACTTAAGAATCTTGAGATGAGATATCATCCTTGATTAGCCAGATGTGTTCTAAAATCCAACAATATTCTAACAAAAGACACTTGAGAAAGCCCTGTGAAGAGGGAGGCAGAGACTGGAGCGATGCTGCCATAAGCCAAGTTCTGTTTGGAGCCCCCAGATGCTGGAAGAGTCAAGGAACGATTCTCCCATGGAGTCTTAGGAGAGTGTGGTCGGATTGATTCCTTGATTTTGGGAGACGATCCATTTCTGTTGTTTTACGTTACCAAGTTTGTGGTCCTTTGTTACAACAGTCACAGGAAAGGAATACTACTGACTGGTGGTTGGGTAAAGTCCCTAGTTGGTCCAACTGAAAGGTTGGAAATTTGAAGTCACACACTTGGTGCAATTGAAAAAGGGTTTGGACTCTGCTTCCATCAAGATTACAATCAAGGACTCCCAGTGGAGCTCAGTCCTACTCTGTAACACATGGGGTTGGCATGAGTCAGAATTCACTCAGTGGTCATGAGGGTTTGGTTTTGTTCTGTTGTGTTTTTAGGTTCCGAGCACACTTCCAGCTGTGTCTAAGACTACTGTAGTAAGCAATCACACCTGACTTGTACCCATGTGATTTTTTCAGTCTTGGCCATACTTCTTGATCAAGTCTCACAACTATGTGCAAAGCCTTGCTGATTTGATGGCCACACACACACACACACACACACACACACACACACATTCCAGGATAAATTCAGGTACCCTCTTTATTCTTCCAGTTATCACTTGTAAAATAAAGATTACAAATGTGGTAGCCTGGCTGCAAATCAGCATCCCAGGTAGCCCAAAGAATCTAGTATGCACGCCTTCCCTTGCTGAATGGTTCAACCAATAGGATACTGTAGAAATGAAGCATGTGACTTCTGAGGCTGGGCCAAGAGCGCCCTCATGCTTGTTTGGTTCATTTGCTCACAGGAAAGCCAGCCACCATGTTGAGAGGACCCTCAAGCAGCCCTTTGGGAAGGACAATGTGGTGAGCACCTGATGCCTCCTGCCAACAGGCATCATCATCTTGCTGGCATGTGAGTGAGTGACCGGCCTTGGGGGTGAATTCTCCAGCCTCAGGTAGGCTTTCAGATGGCTGCAGCCCAAGTCCTCATCTTGACTGCACCCTCTTGAGAGACCTTGAGCGAGAACCACCCCAGTCAAGTGATGCCAGAGTCCGGACCCCCAGAAACTGTGTGAGGTAAGAAATATTTGTTGTTGCCTGTAAGTTTCAAGGTAATATGTAATATAGCACTAAATAACCACTATAAAAATCTTTTTAGACTGTCCCTGGATGAGACTCTCATAAAGACAAAGTGGGTTCTCTCTCCAGGACCTTCACATGCTTCCTGCCTACCCACCTTTACGCACCTTCTGCATCTTTCCTAAGGCCTCACTCTCTGTTCCCTTGTTGAAGCTTTTAGCTGATGCATAGACTCATTGTTTGGGCTTTGTGTGGTACTGTAGGATAAACACTGGACTGGTCATTGCAAGGTCTGCAGTTCAAATCCACCAGCCATTCTTTGGAAACCCTACACAGTCAGAATCTACTCAACAACAACAATAAGGCTCAATGATTAATATAGCCTCTCTCAGAGATATTGTCATTTTAATAGAGGTCTCTTGAAATCATCCACTCTGTCTGCCAGTTTATACACTATGGTGGCTTGTGAGTTGCTATGATTCTGGAAGCTATGCCACCAGTATTTTAAATACCAGCAGGGTCACCCATGGTGGACAGGTTTCAGATGAGCTGCCAGACTAAGATAGATTAGGAAGAAGGAGACATAGGCTACTTCCAAATGTTTAGTCACTGAAAACCTTCTGAATACAATGGAACACTGTCAGATACAGTGCCAGAAGACGAGCCCCTCAGGTTAGAAGGCGCTCAAAATGCCGCTGAGGAAAAGCTGCTTCCTCAGCGTAGAGTTGACGGTGATGACGCGAAAGGAGTAAGCCCTCGGGACTTTCATTTGCTGATGGGGCACAACTCAAAATGAGGAGAAACAGCTGTAAACACCCATTAATAATTGGAACATGGAATGTACAAAGTGTGAATCTAGGAAAATTGGAAGTTGTCAAAAATGAAATGGAATGCATAGAGATAGATATCCTAGGCATTAGTGAGCTGAAATGGATTGATATTGAAATAGACTGGTATTTATCAGGAGGGACTAGTCCCAGGAGAAGAACATCATGCTTGCTAAAGTGTAGGGTCAGCAAAAAAGAGGAAGACCCCCAATGCTGTGAACTGTCACAGGAGGAGAAGCGATGGGCTCAAGCGTAGCAACAATTGTGAGGGGTTTACAGGACTGGGCAGTGTTTCGTTCTGTTGTGCATAAGGTCCCTATGAACTGGAACTGGCTTGGTGGCACATAGCAACTTGAAAATCCAAAAGCATTTCATTATGTTCCGTCCTGCTGTTATATTCTCTACAACAACAACCAAATAAAATTTAATTTAAAAAAGCATTCCAAACCTAAAGAAATGAGGGTCTCTAGGTGAAATCTTGGGAAACTGGGGAGCTCTTAGGTGATAGAAGGTGCAGGGTAGTGCTAGGGGTTAATGTGTTTAACTGCTAAAGGGAAGGTTGGTTCTACATCCTAGTTTGGTGACTGTTGGCATTGTTGTTATGTGCTGTGGAGTCGGTTCCAACTCATAGCGACCCGGTACAGGGTTTCCGAGGCTATAAATCTTTATGGAAACAGAAAGCCTCATCTTTCTTCCTAGAACAGCTGGTAGTTTTGAACTGCTGACCCTGAGGTTCAAAGCCTAATTTGTAACCATTACACTACCAGAGCTCCTTACTTTGGTGAATAGCATCAAAGTTCAGGAGGGGCCATCTAAGGTACAACTGTTGGTCTCTGTGTGCAGGAGAAAGAAGAGTGATGAGAAGTGAAGATGCTTGGAATCAGTTTAATCCAATGGACCAATAGAGCATGTGAACACCAGCCTCTAGAACTCAGAGACCAGAACTAGATGGTGCCCAGCTACCACTAACAGCTGCTTTGAATGGGATTTGAACTGGAAGATCCCAGATAGAGCGGCAGAGTATGTGGCACAAAACTCAAAATTACTTTTAAAATTTAAAAAAGACCAGGCTTACTGGTTAGAAAGAGACTGGAAGAGCTTAAGAGTATGGCCCTCAACCACACTTCAGGTCTGGAACAGAACTCACCCTCAATGCCCAATTTTTAGCCAAGTAATAGACAGGTGTATACGGGAGACAAGAACATGAGTAAGGCATGCTCACCCTGGAATGGTCAATCACTCAGAATCCAAAGGGCAACATTTACCTTTGGACAAAGTTAAGAAGGAATAGGAAGGAGTGTGGAATGGAAATAAGAGCCACAGGGAGGAAGTGGGATCACTGTTGTTACATGGAGGGGATTGCAGTCAGTCATTGAGATGAAACAAAGCATATGATTTGTTGAATGTAAAACTGATGCTCTGCTATGTAAACCTTCACTCAAGTCACAATAAAAAGTTAATAATAAATAAGTTAAAATAAATAAGGAAGGTTGGAGATTCAAGTCTACCCAGAGGCCCCTCAGAAGAAAGATCTGGCAATCTAGTTCTGAAAAATTCATCATTGAAAACCCTGTGGAGCACATTTCTAACTCCAGCTACACCTGAGGTGGCCATGGGTCAGCACTGGCTTGATGGTAACTGTGTATTGTGACTAGAGGAACGGGGAGAGGGACAGGGAGCCTCAAATCCCATCTCCTGTACTTTTCACTCAATTCCTAGCATGTCATCAAGCAAGATACAGAAATGCTAACACTGACTCATTCCCAGGTTTTTAGCATCAGTCTTTGTTTCCATGTGCTGTTTTCAAAGGCTCCTATGGTTCATGTTGTTGTTGTTAAGTGCTGTCGAGTTGATTCTGACCCATAGTGACCCTGTATAGGGTTTCCGAGGAGAAGCTAGTGAGCTTGAACTGCCGATCTTACAGTTCAAATGGCTTTGCATTCATGCATTGATTATAAGGAAAACAGGATGCAAAGTGCAGTTTGGTTATGGATTAAATTATGGGTCCCAAAATATGTGTGGGAATCCTAACCCCTATCCTGGTATGGAGCTGTAGGATAAGCAGTGGGCTGCTAATAACAAGGTTGGCAGTTGTAACCCACCAGCTGCTCCTTGGAAATCCTGTACATCAGAGGTGGGAAACATCTGGCCCAAGAACTGTATTGTTGTTGTTGTTGTTAAGTGCTGTTGAGTTGGTTCTGACTCACAGTGACCCCGTATAGGGTTTCTGAGGAGCAGCTGGTGGCTTTGAACTGCCAACCTTGTGTCTCAAACTGAGCTTGTGGTTCAGCGTTTTATCCTTTTGGTCTGGCCCTGCCAAGGCAACCACAGTTCCAGCTATCACATTGAAGGTGATGGTGTGCCGTGGAGTTGGTTCCAACGCATAGCAACCCTGTATAGGGTTTCCAAGACTGTAAATCTTTACAGGGGCAGAAAGCCTCATCTTTCTCTCACAGAATTTCGAACTGGTAATTTCGATCTGTTGGCCTTGAGGTTAACACTCCAACTCATCACCACTATACTACCAGTACTCCTTAGCCATCCATCCTATTAGGGGTGTGTGAGCAATCACCTTTGTTGTTGTTGTTGTTGTTGTTAACTGCCGTCGAGTCAGTTCCAACCCTGTATTGCGCTTCTGAGGAGCAGCTGGTGAGCTTGAACCACCGACCTTGCAGTTCAAACAGCTTTGAAGTCTGGCGCATTAACCTGCAGCACCACACCAGGACTCCAGTTGTTGTTGTTGTTGTTAAGAGCTGTCAAGTCCATTCCAAACCATAGCAACCCTGTACAGGCTTTCCAAGAAGCATATGGTGAGCTTGAACCACCTACCTTGCAGTTCAAAGACTTTGCAGTCTGGCACAGTAGCCCACCGTGCCATACTAGGACTCTCATTGTTGTTGTTGTTGTTGTTATGTGCTGTGGAGTCGGTTCCAACTCATAGCAACCCTGTACAGGGTTTTAGAGGCTATAAATCTTTATGGGAGCAGAAAGCCTCATCTCTCTCCCAAGGAACAGCTGGTAGTTTCGAACTGCTGACCTTGCAGTTTGCAGCCCAAATTGTAACCACTACACTACCAGATGATGCATCAAGAAAAGATGGAAGGAATACACAGAGTCATTGTACCAAAAGGAAATGGTTAATGTTCAACCATTTCAAGAGATACCATATGAACAAGAGCCA